TTCAGGTGAAGAGTGTCTCTTTTGCCATAATCATCCCAAACCCGTGCTGGGCCTTCTGCTGATTACTTCAGTTGTGTTTTCTGTAAACCTGAAAGGATTAGAATACTTCTGTTCTCTCCCAATTTACTGCTACAGGTAACTGGAGGTCCACAGACTACTGTTAGCACCAATATTGACATTCACATATCTGCCTTTCCTAGAGAGACCCAGTGATTAAAAAATCAAAGAAAAATAAAATATTTAAGACATTATAAATGGAAGTGCTGAACATGATATCCCATTCAAACCCACCAGAATACCACATATAGTACATTTTCCTATGAAATTTATATATAATGAACAAGCATTACATAGCCTATTTTGGTTTCTCTAAACATAGCTGTGATAAAAGCTAAAATACATTATAAACAGCTAGAATTAAGAATAAATGTCTCAGAACTATTTAAATTAAACTTCAGTCAAACCCACACAAGAAATTAGTCAGTTCACTCATGAGGGCAGAGGATTGAAAAGGGTAATGATATTCTTCAGTTTCTTCACCTAACTGCACAGCCTATTTGATTTTAGGTGTCCTTTTCATCTACAGATGCTGAAAAAGGTATGGTTTTTGTTTTCATATTGGATATGGGACTCCCTCTTATCCTCATGTTGACCTGGGCCCTGGATGACTAACCCTACAGCTGACACAAACAGATGTTTTTATTTGTTTAAACTATTAGGTCAAAGGGCTGATGAGCTAATGAAAATTCTTTTAAGAGCTATCAAATGAGGTATGATTAGCTGGTTTTCAGTCCCTATTTGAATAAAACAAAAGAATTAAGAAGAATTCTCAGTTTACAAATCTTTCATTTCATTCCTAGTCTTGGTTAAGAGGCAGATTTAAAAAACAGTGACATGAGAAAAGCATACCTCAGTAACTGCATTACCAACTCCAGTCTAGTTTAGCAGTGGTGTTTTTCCATCAGCTGTTACAACTTGCATTGTGAGAGCACCTTCTACTCAAACAGTGTTTGACAGGATAACATTGAGCCGTTTCAGCAACCTTCTGTTTTTCCCAGAATACATTCCTTTGCTCAGCTTCTGTAACTTCTGTTTTATATACGTACTTAGCTGTGTCATTTATTGAAAAATAATTTCTAGTCACATAAATAGGTCCCTCAGTTTAATATTCTGGAATAATTGTGTAGGGATGACTCCAATCTCTGTTTCATCAATAAAAGTGCAATATCTTTCAGATATACTCCCAGAGTAAAAACATCTTGCTGTGGATGAAATCAGCTGATTTTGGAAATTTCTATTTCATACATATGTATGTGAATTTGCAACTCTTTATGATGTACCAATAATTATACCGTAGTATTTGTTTTCACTTATGAGTAAATAATTTATCTTGAAGAATCCACATCAAGGTAATATGCCATGCTCCCAAACTGGCTACTTTCTCAAGAAACAAAAACTTATCAAGTCAGTTCTACACAGTGTTGATTTTATTTTCTTTTTCTTTCTTTTTTTTTTTTTTTTTTGATAGTGGAAAGTATAAATCACAAACAGTACAAGTTCCCCATGTCAGCAGTTGACCACTTGATTGGGTCAACTTCTGTTGATACTGTATTTTTAGTATAAAGTCAAGATAATATGGCAGTTAACTAATACTTTCGACTACAGTAAAGATACAAACTTTAGTAATATAAATTAATTGCCATTACAAAAAGGCAACTGTATTAAGTAATACGGTACAAAAATCTGCAACTTCTATAAATATAATGAAATGCAAGAAGTTAAACGAAATAACACATCACAGATTTTTGTATAGCGCATTTGAATAGGCAAGCTGATACACATGGAGCATTATACAGCAAGAAAGAATATCAAAACCCACTAAGACTTAACTTTTAAGCCATACAAATGCTAAAAGTACAAGTACAGGACACAACATGAAGCAGTTAAAATTACCAGCTCAGAGTGGGCAGACAAAGAAGCCTTACTGATGAGTTGTAAAGCATTAGGCAGCAGACAGAAGGTTGTCAAAACCAGCTGTTGTTGGATACTGATTGATAATGTTTTCATTCTGACGGCTGAGACACCGCAGACAGCCACAGGTCTGAGAAGAAGCCCAGTGTGGGCACACACACACACACACACACACACACACAAAGTAATTTAACAGATGGCTAAAGAACATTAAAGCACAATATCTTTTTTTAAAAAGACAATGTTCACTCCTTAATGAACTTGCACGGAAAGAAGAGCCTAGTGCCCAAGTTTATTCCACCTAAATGACAAACACATGTGAAAAGATTAAAACAAACAAACAAAAAAACCAAAGCAGTTAAGATTGGTTATCTGAAAACTGCATGGTGCTTACATATTCTACCATAGCCAGAGCATTCAACAACACTACAGACAAGGAAGTGTGACATGAGCTGCTATGAACATTGTTATCCCCTCATAAAAAGGTGAAGTTGTTTATAGACATTTAAAAGGTACACATCCATTAAGTCCATCTACAACACAAAACCACAGAAGTACTACATTCAAAGTAAAGTTAAGTGTTGGTCTTAGCCTTCAGCACTTATGAGGTATTGTTCCAACCTGTGATGAGGAATGTTCACTATATTAGTAAGAAAAAGCATACTCAAAATAATTCTGAAAATTAAAATCACTGCTTCTGTGCAGTTGACATGTGCCTACAGAAAAAACATTGAAGTATCAAAAGGTCCTAGTCTAAATGGCCACTGGCATTCTCCAAAACCACATTATCAAGGACTTCTTGGGCATTTCCATGCAAGTTATGTAGCACCTTCAAACAGTGCATAGCTGGGAGATCATGACCAAAAGTTGGAGCCACTAAAGTTTTTGGACCAGACAAACTCACTGATGGTAGAAATAGTACAGTTTCAAGAATGCAATAGAGTTGGGCTTATTTTCATTTCCTGTACCTTTTGGTCCATAACTAAACAAAAGCAGGAGAAAATAGTAAAAAAAAAAAAAAATTATTTCACATCTTCTAACTAATGGCCAATGAAAAAGCAGTAACGTCTTGGAATCCCACATTTTGCCTCCCCAAACTGCCTGCCTTGTCTGGGAAATAATGCTCCTACTCCTCCTCCCTGCTTATTTTTCATCGTGCCTAAATAAAACAGAAACTTGGCGATCTTGTGGAAATCTGGGAATTCTGTAGCCTTTAAGCTCATGTCAGCAATGAGAGAGTTTGGAAATGTAAATTAGATCCAGTTCCTCTTTAAAACCAGGGAAGGGAACCTCCTTAGCCCTCACAAGAGAAACTGATGGGCAGCTGGTCGTGACTAAAGTGTGCAGAGAGAACTGAATCAAAGCAGGGCTCCTCTGTACTTTAATATGAACAATTCCAGTTCTTGGTTGTTTCCAAGAGTATTAGCAGTGAGACGACTGACCTGACAGGAAAGAGAACATAAAACAAAGCAAGGACATGCCCTTCAGGCTTCCTGCCTATTCCATCTCAAAATTAAACAAGGAGTTTACCAGTTTTCCCAGCTTCTTTTTGACAATAGGAAGCAGTTACAACAGTGGGAGCAATGCAAGAAATTCATGGAAATTGAAAAGTAAACTAAAATTCCTATGAGAAACATTTTGTTTAACAAAGAGCAAAATTACAATTAATAGAGAAATGGCTTTTATGAGCCTTCAAAAGCTGATGTTTACTATTTTCTTATCCCCAAATAAACTAGTAAGAAACTACAATAAACTTCAAACAGAAGATAAATGCTCAGAGTGGAAAGAAATGTTGCTTAAAGCCCCGAAAACAAGGCATTGTGTGTTTCAAGACGGAAGCAGAGTTGATGAGCAACTAATGACACCTCACTCGAGTTTGTGTTTGCAGACACTCATGCACAAGGGTAGCTGAATGCACAAGGCACAGCATTCAAGGCATGCACCAGTCCAGTGACTGGTATCTGCACATACCCTGTTGTCACTGTGAACCAGTGGCCTGGCACATTTCTTCAGTGGACAAAATCAGTTTATGAGTTTTTTAAAAATCAACAAAAGGTAGCCAAAATACTGCAAATCTACAGTGGGAAAACACAGAAAGAGGAAAAGTGGACTGTGTTACGTGACCCAAATCAATTTTTTCTAAATGTATTACAAATGTTGTTTCCAATTACTACTTTTTCATCTTCTAAGTAACATTTAGCCCAGAGGAAGTTTGAAAGAACAAGATATAATCCCCTTGAAAAGAGAAGCTTATAGTACAAACACTGGAAGACCCTTAATTACTGGATAGATGCCTTGGCAATGTTACAATAACAATAGGAGCCTAAGAATGAGTGATAAAGGAAGTATTTAAAATCACTTACACTTTTAACTAGCAATAAAGCCTCCACAGATGAACAAACAGATATTTGCTCTGCTTTTCTTATGGAAAACTACTTTCAATGAAAATTATTACTTTATTCAACTTCTGTATATTTCTAAAATCTTTCATATACTTCTAAAAATCTTTTTATTTAGATCACCTGTTTATATAAACTGATTTCCCCAAGTACTGTTATCTGTGCACATCTGTTTGTTAATTTATTTTTCTGCAAACTTCCAGCAAAACACCATACTGCCTCTAGCAGGGTTTTGCAGTGACTTTAGAAGAGACTCAACTACCTTGTGGAGTCCACTACTTCAACTGTGTTTTCGCTTAGTAAAACTTCAGGAATACCCTTTGCATTAACATGAAACTGGTTGCGTTTTAGGTATCCTATTAAGGTTCTCAGTGGCTGTGCTTTTCCATAATGTGAGGTTAATAAATGAGCTAAATTATACTCATAAATTCTTTAGAAACATTGTTTTTAAAATTCAAGGTAACACGTGGAATTCATCCTTTATGGACTATGTTGTTTTTGTGCGTGTAAATTTTTCTACCAAGGACGATCGCGGTGCAAGAAAGCAACATGCAGTGTGCAGAAATAGTGGCAAACAAAGAGGAACTTTCTACTTCAGTAGTGTAGACAACTTTACTGGAAATAGCTGTGTACCTGATTCACAGGACATTTATTTTAACCAAAGGACATTCTGCATTAACTCTGTATGAACAACATATCACAGCTCAGCCTTGATACTACACTGTAATTAAGCTGTGACAGAGTGAGCAGGTACAGCGATGCGTGGGAACCTCTTCTTTCTCTTGGCTTTCACATTCTTGAAGGTTCGAAGTCTCTCTCTTCTAGCAAGTTTATTAGAAGGGAGAAGCTGTCTTTTACTGCCTCCATATCATCCAAGGAGCAGGGTTTAAGAATCCAGCGCTTTCCACGTGCAAGTGGCTCAAGTTCAAAATATTTTTTTATCTATTAAGAAAAAAAAAGAGACCAATGTATTATACTTGACAATTCTCTGTCTCACATCTAAAAAACCAAACCAAACTAAAACAAACAAAAACATGCAAAAAATCAGGATATTCATTTTTAGAATCTTACCCACAGCTGTTCTTATAATACAGGTTATACAACATGACCTGAAAGTGTTTTCTTTAGGGGTGCTTGGAAGCTACCATTCTACCCATACATTTAACAGCATGGGAGGTCTGAGGAAGAATTGTACTGACTTCAGGCAAACAGCAAAGCACATGAAATGTGCACAAAAACATATCCAAAACAGCAAAAGTAAGTAAGAAATTGTGTTTGTATTTCAACGTTAAAAATGTATGTTTCATTATACTCCTATCGGTAAACACTTAAGATGTAGAATTTGTCACCATACTACTGTAACTTCACAAATTAAACATAAAAAATTTACAGATCCTAAACATTCCTCTCAAACATGAGCTATAGCACAGCATCTCTTAGTGACCAAGAAAATCCTACAGAAATAAAAATTCTTCCAAAATTGCTTAGTTTTTTAAAAATTAAACATAGAAGACTAACACACTAATGTTAGTAGGATGGTAGCAAGTATTATACATAAAATGTCATGCAGTTTCTAGGAAACACCAATCATTACTGACACTGCAATCACTGTCAAGACATAAATACAGACCCAGAAAGACTGAGAAAGGAAAGATTTTAATTTGGTAGTATATTCAAATTACTTTTCAAAATAGAATGTACAATATCAAAAAAAGGTTTTGATGTCTCTTAGAAGAGAACAGCAGCCTGCAGGTTATACTGGTCCACAGTTTACTGTTTTCATTAAAATTTTAGTCTTCAAAGCTATTTGACCGAACAGTCTACTCATGTTTGACTTGTCCACTAGAATTTTAGTTTTTACATCCAAAACTACATCCCTTGGTTCCTGCTACTGTCTGTATATCAACAGAAATATTAATTCCTGACTTATTTTGCACAGTTTTGTTCATTGTAATTATTTCAAAATACTCTTAATTTTCTTTTAGCAGAGACTGTGCTGTCAATATGCAGCACAATCACAGGAATGGTCACTCACAACTTGGTAGGCAGTAGAAGCCCTAGACAGGCAACTGGAGCCTCGCTGTGTAAGGCTCCATGGGCAGAAGGAATGAAGAGAGGAAAGAAGAAAAAATGGCTTTCAAAGCCCATACAAACTGCAACGTCTCTGTGTAGCTCTTATAGTGTCTACTGATAACAATTTTATCTATTAATGAATTATAATAGAAAAAACCAAATTGAGTATCAAGTCACATAATTCAAAATTCAACCATGATCAGGCCGACTATCTTATTTTTTGGAAAGGAATTTCAACCAGAATGTTTAGTAACAAATATTAGGGAAAAAAAAATTGTGGTTTTGAGATGAGAATTTCTGCTAACCCAGAAACAACACTGTGAAAAATTTTAAATATGTCTTTTCATTGAAGTAGAATTGTACCAATAACGTTTGAAAATGAAGCATAGTACTTGACATTCATTTCCCCTCAAACAAATTTAGAAAACATAGAAGCTGAAATAAATGGGGCTTCAACAAACCAGTATTTTAATAGCAACACACCAACTTTTTAGCATTGCTATCTCAGTGCCACATCAGTATCTGATATGTTAGTACAATTATATGTCATAAAAACCAAACTAATATCTACAAGGGATGTATTGCAACTTTTCCAGCAGCTTGAATTTACCCCCATTACTATACTGAGTTAATGGCACTGATCACAGTATTGGAAAAGCGGGGTAAGGAAGCTCTGTTGCCTGCTCCAGCAGCAGCCTCCTTGACTGTCACACGAGGGGAGAAGTAAAGGCTGCACGGAAGGATAACAAAGCAAGGTGTCAGGGCAGCCAGCGGATAGAGCTGCCCGCTGGTGTTAAGCTGACAAATATGGCTGAGTAATCTAAGATGTTTCAGACCCACAACCCAGAGGATGTCCACCACACCCCCTCTACTGGAAGACTGTTGCCATCAGACCCTGTAGCTCACTGAAGGCAGTCTGCAATCTTCGTTACACAGCCTCTTGGATTAGGGCTCTGCCATGTGAAGGAAGGGCATTACATTGTAAGGATAGCGCTTGGGTTCAAAAGTAGAAACAAATGCTCAAGGAAATGATGGCACTAACTAGCACTGAGTCTTGTGCATTTGTGGGCAAATACAACACAAGATACCAAGGTAGCCTCTAGCCAAGAAAAATACAATGCCTTTAAGCCATATTTCAGTGACTGCAGATGCCAACAGGTTTAGTGAAACAAAGTTTGCAAATAAATTATTTAGATAACCAAAGCTGATCAAAATGTGGGTTTTTTTTTTTTTTTTTTTTTCTGTGAAATCAAAATGTTACTAAATTAGTGATGTGCTGTCATCATTTTTCACACTAAGGACCAGTTCAGAGTATCTGCAGTAATAGGTCCTAGATTAATGCTGAAATGTTTGTTCAAGTTTGTTAGGTGGTTGTTTTTAAAATGTGAGGGTTTGATACTGGCATGAAAGCACAACTGCTTATATTCACAAGTAAGAGTTATTTCATTCATACCTTCTGCAGAAGAAAAGAAAAAGATTTGCTGGATGACTAGTGTCTAATACTAATCTAGAAAAATAACACTAATTGGCTTACAAATAATAACTAACTAAACCAGAAGTAGCACAGAAGTGATTTTTCACAACCCAAGGGACACTTTGTGGTCTGTTACTATACTTCCTCATTTAAACTTCATACCACAGTGGAGTTTGCTAAACCTCAAGGTTTTGCGAGCAGGCTCTCTGGACTTTGAAACTTCCAGAAAGAAGTTTGCAGACCCAAATATTTTCCAATTTACTGTAACTTCTTCTCCCGTCAACTCAGAAGAAGTCATTCTGTTCTAAAGGCAAGTACTTTTTTTAGACTTGAAAAAACAACCGTTTTTTTTACATGCAACAGATGAAACATGAAAAGATTGACACAATCAGATGCCCAATTCTTTTTATACAGTTGAGTTTTCCACTGGAATGCACTCAGCTCTCCATCCATGTTTGGTTTTGTAGTTCCTTTCTGCCCCACTGACCATCATCCACACTCATTCCCTGCAGATTTCCTAAGAGGATGTACAGTGATCATCTAAGTGTCCAAAGAAAGCTGAAATTCATGGAATACTCACATACCTAGGTAGTTCTTGCATAATCAGCAGTTACTATTTTACAGCTCCCTTCAATCACACTAGAACAATGGGGTGAGATTCTAAGAGAAGCTCTTCTGTCTTCCACTCTGCACAAACAGTGAAAAGCGTTCTGCCTGTTCATGGACACTGAAGTGAAATATAAAGACTCAAACATTTTTCAGAAGTCTGATGCATTAGATGCACATTTACATGCTGGCTTTGCATTTTCAAGAGTTTACTTTGAGACTGCGAAATTTTTAAAGATATAATCTTAGAAGAAAATACAACCAATTAAAGACTTCTTTACTAATTTTTACAGGATATCATTGTATGTCTTGACTCCACATGGGGGCCTTGTTTTATAGAGAACCTGACATTGTATTTATGCCACATTCTGAAGTCAATAAAATCTAACAATACACGTTTGCAATTCCCACTCTTCCCACACTCCACCTTCTAAGTCCTATTCTACTGGCACAATACACTAAACATATGGTTATCAAATGTTGCTTAACCTACGTGCTAGAAAAGTCAAGACACAATAAAAAGGATCAGTGCCCAGAACCTCAGCTGGTGTAAATTATCATAGCAGTGTGGAACTGATGTTACTAAATTGATATACGTAAGCTGAGTGACCAGGCCCTGCTGAAAGCTTTTCTATGTTCTATTAGTGAACTTCATCATCTAGTCAGTTCACCACCCTTGTGAACATAAGATGTATAGGAAAACTTAGATGTTCCAATACATGAGAAGTGTAATCTCTATTATTCAATATGAAAAAAAAGCTCATTGAAAGCATTATTTTTCATTTAAATTCAAAATTATACTACCAAATTTCATCAACATAGAAAAGCCCATTGTGATTAATCTGCTGTAAACAAATACAAAATTCAGATAGTCACTTACATTACCAGGCTGGTAAATGGAGAACTTAATGAAAAAAGTATTTTTTCATCATTGCTGTTTTGTTGAAAATTTTCATTTGGGACAAAAAAATTGTAACAAAACATGTATATTATATCCAGTCAAAGGCTACCTGGTCTTGTCAGTGTCCTCAATAGACTAAATTTTTGAAAGACTTTCACAGGATTTACCAATTATTACTGCAAAAGGTATGAATTGAACTAAAATAATCTAATTTGCTGAATCCATGTATTAACCATAAGACTTAGTTTATTCATCCATTCCAAATCTGCATGGACAAGAAACAAAATAATAATGGGAGACTGGAGTAGCCCATATTAACACTGTGAAAGTTTCACTGAGCTGTGATGCTGATAATATCCTTTCAGACTTCATAAAAATATGCTTTTTGGAGCAACCAGTTAGAAGATGCAGCAGAGAGAGGGAATTTTGCTTGCTGCCTCTACAAACAACAGGCAAGCTGCCTGTAACAATTCTTGTGCAAATTCAATATATTTGGAGAAGAGAAAAAGCCAAGAGTACTTTACTTTACATAGCATTAAGTTTTAAAAAGGGAAACTACATAAAATTTGTAACTTAAAGAAAATTAACTGTGCAGCTAAAAAAGTAAAATGCTTGCAGGTGGCACAGAAAAAAATACTATAATTAGGGGCTCAGAGTATATTTATACTACTTCAGAAGACTTTAAAATAAACAAAAAAAAAGTTTTCACCAATTGCAGCAAGGAAAAGGATGGCATTAGAGGTAACAGAAGTCATGTCTAAAAAAAGAAAAGAGAAAACAAAAGAAAGGAAATTCTGGCAAATTAAATAGAAACCACAAATGTTGACCTACTAACCATAGAGTAGAACTCATTACTTAAATCACCACTGACGTTAAAAAGCAAACTGA